TCGCCTAATTTGCGGGAAGAACTCTCCTGACCATTCAAAAACATTACAATCTAGACAAGCTTTCAGCAAGACTGATATTTGAGCGATGTTTAATCCGTAGAACTTAACTTTTGCAGATTATTTTGTAAGTATATTCTCCATCCCTTCCGAAACTTGTCCAATATTGTTTAATAGATCCTCGAATTCTTGTCCTCTACCAAAAATAGATCCTTACCTATGTACGAAAACTTCTGAGGAAGGTTAGCCCAGCATTATCGATAACATCTGATAGTATCCCAGCTATCTTCTACAAGATGTTCGCTGATGAGTTGGCCCTTCCATTAACGCATATTTTCAACATATCCTTATTGGTTGCAGAAGTGCCTTACCTATGGAAAATTGCTATTGTCACTCCGTTACCGAAGACCTCTCTTAACCCTCAGCTTTCCGATAATAGACCAATAAGTATTCTTCCTACACCTTGCAAGATACTTGAGAAGATTATAAAAAAGAATCGGCTGCAATGGTTCGAAAAAATACATTGCCTTCCAGAGCAACAGCGTGAATTTTTGCAAGATCGATCTACCGGTACACAGCTCCTCGACTGTCAATTTGACTGGACAGTAGCATTGAGTCTGAACCAATCTATAGATGCTGCTTATTTCGACCTAAGTAAAGCATTCGATACCGTTGATCAATCTTCTTTTGGCCAAATTGGAGAGCTCAGAGATAAGAGGATCTCACAATCAGTTGAGATGGTTTAAATCCTACCTTAGCGAGAGGAAGTTTTCGGCTCGAGTTCTTGACAAAATTTCTATGACAAGAGACTGCAAATCCGATGTTCCACAAGGCAGTGTCTTGTCATCCATCTTATTCGGTTGTGTACACTATAGATTTACCCCCTTTCTTATCACTGATCCCCAGATTAAAGTTGACGCATATGCTGACGATGTTAAAATCTATATCGCCTATGGCCAGCATGACAAGGCTAATGCAAATATAGTAGCACTACGAAGTTCGATCTCTCAGATGGCAACTTGGGCTGACATGTGGATTATCCAAGTAAACTATTCCAAGAGCTGCACTATTCCCATTGGAAGGACACTCGCTGAACCAATCGAAAATTTTGACTTTGTTTGCAACTTTTTGGAAAAGATTCAAGCATTTATACTGACTCTAAATTGAAATATTCTGATCATATAAATGAAATTACATCTCGAGCGACCCGAATACTTTGTGCACTAATGCGCACCGCTCAATCTTCTGATCCTAAAGCACTTGTGAGAATCTACAAAACCTTGCTCTTCCAGTAGTTGAATACTGCAGCTAGTGGAATCCAACCTTGAAAAAAGACATTGAAAAAATAGAAAAAATCCAGAAAACCTTTACAAAAATCGTTTTCTACTGTGCCTTTCCCAACGTGAACTATCCTTTTGAATTACCTGATTACAAGACTAAAATACGTAAATTAGGTCTCAAAACACTTTTCTACAGAAGATTCATAGCAGATATTTTGATGGCTTCTAAAATTCTTCGTGCTGAGGTAAGTTTGAAACCTAGTAGATCTGGGTATTTCGACCCATCAATGAATGACGAGCTTCTTTTAACTTGACTCTTTCTAGATTTGGCAGGTACAACGTTTCGCTACAGCGCAACAACTTCTTTTATCGAGCAGTCTCAATATTGAACAAGTTACCGCCTTCTTTATTATCTTTGAATTCAAGTGTTCAACTGAAGAATGCATTGAAAAAAGTGAATATTCTTTAAACTGGAAATGGATGATGTTGTATGATCCTATCTTTTCACCATGTTTTGGAGATGAGATGCAAGTCTTTTTTGCTCTTTTCTGCTTTCTAATCGTATCAGCTCTACCACTGTGAACTGTTTTTTTTTTCATATTGAAGTTGCCCTTAATTCATCTATAGAGTTAAAATATAGTCATATCAATAATGCACGAATTCAGTCTAGCGCATAATGATTAAAGTCACATTGTTTAGCGCTTTGATCTTACATGTAGTTAGCAGTTCATTTGCTCAAACGCGGAGAGAATGGGGGAAAAAATCAAAGTATGTATGTATGTATGTATGTATGTATGTAGTATGTATGTATGCATGTATGTATATATATACAGAGTGTCCCGAAAAAATGTGAACACTGTTTGATCGTTAATAACTCCGTTGCTTTCATGTCTTTCGCCGAGCTTTAGGCACCATTTCGTAGACGAGGTTCAACTCAGATTCACAGTATGAAGCAAAACTCCGATCTCCCTTCGCTACTGTTGGATTACGGTAGGAACTTCCAGCGTGTGAATCCATTGTGAAATATGCCATTTGATAAAATTTTTTCCAAAAAATCTAAAAATCGTGTACTAGGGTTTTCGCGCACGCTGAATCCATTACACAACTTTTTATGAGAGTTTTTAGCTTTTTTGACGGGGGTAATCACATTTTTGACAAATGTTGGGAATTCTGTTATTCCGGTTTACCTGGGATAACTTCGGAAAGAAGCGTCACAGTACAGTGGAAATTTCATATTCGCAATCAGCGGCTTCCATTACCATAGTATAAGAGCTTTTGGCTTGTTTGGTTTTGTTTCGAGCAGAATATGGCCTCTAATGGCCTAAAATCCTTGTCAAAGTTCCTACAGTAATCCTACAATAATGAAAAGCGATCGATGATTCGCTCCATACTACAAATCTAAGCTAAACATCGCTCTACAGAATGGTGTCTCAAGCTCGGCGAAAGACATGAAAGCAAGGGAGTTATTAACGATCAAACAGTGTTCACATTTTTTGGGACACCCTGTATATATGTATGATGGACAATGGATCGACGAACGGAGCAATGGTTTGGTCAAAGGATGGATCGCTGCATCACTCATCACTCGAGGGTTGATCTTCCAAATCGACTTCTTCATAAATCTCCGTTGTTTTTGAGCATTATGATCTGTCAACTGTTATCCTAATTATGAGATCAAAGCCTCTGACGATGTATTGAACTCAAAACAATTACGATTTTACTCTACACACGCCGTCTACTGAAGCATTCTAAATGATAAATACTTCATATTCGACATAGTTCCTGTTCTTCATTTTCAACTCGTCTGAAAATTCTCTAACATGTCTGCGATACGATGCAAAAGTCAGAGCCAATTTGAACCACTTGCCTTTTTTCTCCTATTTGTACTATTGAGCATCTTTTCATTCTTATGATATGATTTTATAATAGCACATCTTTTTACGATGTATTTTATAATCAAATAAATGAATATTCTTGAAGCAGTACTTTCTCAGATAATCGCCGGGGGCAGGCGGACATGCGAATTTTGAGCAAGCGCGCACCGGAAAAATAGTTTGCTGATTTCTTGCGGTCCGCCTGCAGAAATTTGGAATAATTTTAGCGAAATTTTAGACGAATGCTTGGAGAACAATCGCGGTCTACTCATAGATTAGCTGCGGTGCAGTGGCCGCATTCTCGCGAACTTTCCGCGAGAACATGCAAAATTTTCGATTGCCGCACGGTCCTTTGTGAAGGACCGCGCAGCCCTCAGCTACTTTCCGCTGGGAGAAAGTACCTCAAACTTGAGTAATTAAACCATCGATAACACCTCTGCCACGTAGTGTCTTATCTTTACTCGGCGTATGCCCGAAGCTGCGTAAAAAGAGTCCGAGCGCTTGCTGAAAGTTTGGCCAGCGCTCGCTGAAAGAAATTATTCGCCGAGCGCTTGCAAAAAATGCTGTATTGCTGCCCGCTGGCAGAATATGCGACCGTAAAGGAAGTGCCGCCCGCTGAAGGTTTGGCCACGCCCCAAAATTCTGCCGAACGCCTGCAGAAAAGCGCGAGTTTGCGGACCGCCTGCCCTCGGCGACTGAGTTAGGTAATTCCCTGCCAAGATTTCAGCAGGTTCATGATTTTTACCCGCTGCCACGCGAAATGACTACCATATTCGTCATCAGTGGCTTGAACAACCCCCCATACACCGAGTTTGAGCAAGACACACCACAAAAACATTTTAGGACCCGGGTAGCCAAATAACGCCATCAGTTATTATCCTTACTTTTATCGATTTTATTGTTGTTTTTTTTGCAAACTTTGAGCTACGGGACTGGGGGTTGTTGAGGGAGGTGGTGGGCATACTGATCACACACATAGCAGGAATAGGGAATTGCATGTAGAAGTGAGCACAGGTAAAGGTGTACAAGGATAGAAATGGAACCTTTACCGTTTCTGACAGGGCCGGGCGGAGCCGGGTAAGCCAGCTAGTCTAATATATAAAGAATCGTTAACTCGATCCAAAAATCTGCAAATAGTGGGAAACCGAGGGCGGGTCCCCAAGCGAACACTCTTCCAGGTAGCACTTTTAGATTACTGATTCACTATCAAAGATTGGCAAAATGACACGTCCACACTCCGGCGGACGATTTACGCCTGCGGAAAAGGAATTGGACTTCAGTACAAACCGTACTTTGACGCCAAAAATCAGGAATAAAAAGGTACTATGTATTTCACCGGTGACACAACAATGAAATACATAGTATATGTATGATTCAAGCTGCCACAAAAGCAAACTATAGCATAAAGATCAATTTATCAAGTCGCGTAATTAGCACTGTGAGATAACCGTTTGCAAACTGCACATTATATAAGTCAAGATCGTAAACACTACGTTCTTACATGTACTCAGATAATCGCCGGAGGCAGGCGGCCATGCGATTTATGGGCAGGCGAGCACCGGAAAAATAGTTCGCTGATTTCTTGCGGTCCGCTTGCAGATATTTGGAAGAATTTTAGCGAAATTTTAGACGAATGCTTGGAGAACAATCGCGGTTTCCTCATAGATTAGCTGCGGCGCAGTGGCCGCATTCTTGCGAACTTTCCGCGAGAACATGCAAAATTTTCGATTGCCGCACGGTCCTTTGTGAAGGACCGCGCAGCCCCCAGCTACTTTCCGCTGGGAGAAAGTACCTCAAACTTGAGTAATTAAACCAACGGTGACATCTCTGCCACACAGAGTCTTACCTGTGCTCGATGTATGCCCGAAACTGCGTAAAAAGAGTCCGAGCGCCTGCTGAAAGTTCGGCCAGCGTTTGCTGAAAGAGATTATTTGACGAGCGCCTGCAGAAAATTCTGTGTCGCTGCCCGCTGGCAGAACATTAGACAGTAAAGGAAGTACCGCTCGCTGAAGGTTTGGCCATGCCCCAAGATTCTGCTGGCCGCTTGCAGAAAAGCGCAAGTTGCGGACTGCCTGCCACCGGCGATTATCTGCGTAGATTCATCACAACGAAAACAGGGGAAAAACTTGTACAGTAAACGGCAAGAGAGAAGACAAAGATACAATATAAGAAAAAACAAATGAAATGGGAGACTTTCTTCTAAACGATCTACATACAAATTTGGATACACATACCTCGACTTTGCAATATTTGCTGCTTTTGCGCAAGCGCCCGCACCACGAAATAGATAAGAAAAACAAAGGGCAAATGAAGATTTAAGAAAAAAAGTATGGAAAAATAACACTTAGTGACTAATGAGATTCTACTTCTACCAAAGCTGCGATATACCAGTACTATGCAAAACTACAAAGTAGATTCTTAAAAGCAAAATAAAAAAGAACAATTAACGGAGAAAATAATCCAGTCAAACTGGACATTAGCAGCAGTCTGCAAGATGGGAATCGGCAAGTGGCGTCCCAACAAACAACAAGTAACCAACGGCTTCTCCAGCTACAATGCTCAAAATGAGATTTCCATTGAATGTCATGACGATGAGCATCAACACGTAAGCTAACAGAGCCTGGATACCGTAGAGAGACGCTTGGATCAAGCGATATCCGGAAAATACACGCCGAGTCAATCTGCAAAGTGGCAGTTATGTCGACTGAAAATGGCACCACAAGGTTGCATACCCGGTAACTTGAAGCATTGGAGCAAACGAGACCGAATCATGAGATACGTTGTCACCTGCCGAGTCGGCTAACGCTGACTGCGAACTGGTCATGGCGGAACGACGCTGCTGAAACGAAATCATGACTTAAACCGGTAAATGTGAAAAAATATACAGTCTGCCCCAATCGGGATCAGGCCGAACCGTCGGCTGAATTTGCGCGCTCGCAGCGCTAGGGGTTTGCGCTGCATACGCGCGCTGTCGCAGAGAGCGAAGAGATTGAGGAGAGAGCAGACTAGCTAGACGCAGAAGTGGCGCGAAACCCTCGCGACGCGCACTCCCGCCAAGCCAATTTTGGCCTGGTTAGGATTGGGGCAGACTGTATCCCCTATAACAGTCTTGCCAAGAAAACTCTTAGCACGATGACATAATTTGATGGATGTATGATTTAAGTGGTCGACCAAGATAGTGATACTGTTTATATGATATAACGGCCTATGTTTCGGCACTGTTGCCTTCGTCAGAGCCTAGAAGTCGAAGTCGTCAGCATCTATTTCCTCAGACATCAAAAGAGGATTTAAAGTACTATTCGAGAAATAGCCAATGAAAACCTAGCCACAGTAACAAGAGGGGTGTAGGGCGTTAGGCGACAAACCCAATTTTTTGGACCTCAAGAACTCCCCGTGCAAAACGTCTCCTCCGCCAAAAACAGGGGGGTGGGGGTCGGGGCCGATACATTACCCGACGCCGACGAAAAAATGGTGCATAGTTTTGAGTTACGGGATTTACGTTGCTTGCGTTTTGCACGTTTTGTCGCCTAACGCTTGCCCTCCGTAACAAGAGCAGCACTAACCTCAGCTAGAGACAAAACGGAAGTTGTAAGACCGCCACGTATGCAAGACTATGCCTCAGCACTAACATATGCCGTTCTGACCTGACCTCATATTCAAATCCGTAGTGATTGATATGGCGCCAACTCTCTGGTGATAGCGACACACTTCCCCTTTCTATTCATTTTTGGATTTTTGGCGTTTATCCAAAACGCTTCCAATGTTTTGCGCGCAAAGATCTCGGGATGGAACGACAAGATTTGCACCGCAACTTGTGATCCAGCATTATCATGGCGCACTATACATGCTTTCCTAATGGAGTGGCTGCTTTCATCTTATTTGAACGTCTAAATGCTCTTTAACGCGACAGCATAGAGTGCGGCCCGTTTCACCAATGCAGATATGTATGATCGTCTCCGTGGAGGCGGGTTGCGGACTTTCCCTTATTTTAAGGATGAACTTGTTGAATCTCCACGTCATAGCATACTCAGATAATCGCCGGGGGCAAGCGGCGATGCGATTTATGGGCAGGCGGGCACCGGAAAAATAGTTCGATTTTTTGCGGCCCGCTTGCAGAAATTTGGAAGAAAGTTGGCGAAATCAAAGATGAAAGCTTGAAGAACAATCGCGGTTTCTTTATGGATTAGCTGCGGCGCAGTGGCCGCATTCTCGCGGACTTTCCGCGAGAATATGCAAAAATTTCGAGGGCCGCACGGTCTGTGGAGGACCGCTCAACCCTCAGGTACTTTCCGCTGAGAGAAAGTACCTCAAACTTGAGTAACTAAACCAACGGTGACACCTCTGCCACACAGAGTCTTACCTGCGCTCGACGTACGCCCGAAAATGCCTAAAAAGAGTCCGAGCGCTTGCTGAAAATTTGGCCAGCGCTCGCTGAAAGAAATTATTTGCGGAGCGCTTGCAAGAAATTTTGTATTGCTGCCCGCTGGCAGAAGACGAAAGTACCGCCCGCTGAAGGTTTGGCCACGCCCCAAAATTCTGCTGACCGCCTGCAGAAAAGCGCGAGTTTGCGGACCGCCTGCCCTCGGCGATTATCTGAGTAGTTGGTACTCTCTCGCTATCGAAAACCGCCACGCAGTGAGTTGGTAAATCCCCACCTCTACACGAATCGTGGAGTCGATGATATCCTCGCATGCTAAACCTGTGATAAGATATACAATACCGAATAGCTTACAATTACCCTCCTTATCAAATGGGCAAACCAATTAGGAGTTGGACAGAAGCAATTCGTAAGCACGGTTTCGAACCAATCGCTTCTTGAGATTTACGGGAGGGGGGGGGGGATATCGACTACCCTGACAACGCCTTGTAAACCCGCCTGATGCATAGGGCATTCGAGAAATCGTGATGATGGCGCGACCGCGCGCCACGCTCACGCACCTCCCGGCAACCGCATTTTCTCGGCTTCACCTCTACTTGAATGGTTTTTCTGCTCATATATGACAGTATTTAGACATCGGTGACTGAGCTGAGAGCTGAGGTGATGCCTTTTTGTATGAGTGTTTTCTGCTCCTGTGGGCGCAAAAGCCGCAGTCGAACCCATCGTCACGATTTTATAAACGACCTATCGCTGCATTGCATTGCTCAACACATCAGAAATTCCAGGAAAATAGTTAGCGAGTTTCTGAGAAACCGCCTGTTGAATCTTTTTTCGCTCTTATCTTTTGCAGATATATTGCTGAATCTCTGAGGAATCGAGAATTCAGCAAGCGGCGTTCCGAAAAGTCAAAAATCGCTGCCTCTCAAAAAATCCGCGAGCGGGATTCGAGAAATCAGCCATCTATTCTTCCGGTGCCCGCCTGACCCCGGCGTTTGTCTGAGAACGTGCTCCCAAGGTGTCCTCGAGCAGCGTAACCGCTGGGTGCCGCAATTCCCTGAGCGATGGTGATGGACCATGAACGTTCTTCGCCTACGGGGGACACTCAAACAGCTGTTTTGTACATGTTACCTACAATAGCCCTCTTCATCCTATTTGGGTGCGCGGACAGAGAATGTATTAGGATGTTTTCGTTACTGGGCTTGCGACACCACTTGGTTTTGTATGCTCCGCCTGCAAGTTGAATTTCGTTTAGAAACGCTAACCATTCCTCTGAGGGCTTCCGGGTAATACGATGTTCGACGACTGTTGATTTAGTATATTAAACAAAGTCTACCTCCGCTTGGGTGGGACATATGACGCAACAGTCTCGTCTATATACCGACCGTACAAAAGGGGTTTACGCTCCAATACCGGCGCTTCTATTTTAGACAAAAACGATGGCTAAAGTAGGTATATAGACATAATGTGATCACCACACCGAAAAATCTGAATATCTTGGGTTCCATCGATCCTTCTATTGGACTAGAGTTCCCGGATGAAGCTCGGCTATGTCAAATGAAAAGGTACTCATGACTTTGTCTTTTCGCTTTGACTGAGATAAATGGCGCCCTTAGCTAATACGATAAGAGAAAAATCGGCGCTATTCGGCTATCCGGGCCCCAAAAATTTTTTGGCATGGATTTCGCTCAAACTTGGCACAGAGGGGTTATCTGATCTGACATGCTGATCACGAATATCACCTTTTCTGCGCAGGAAAATGCCTCCCTGCAGGGTTACGGTAGGTATACGGTAGGGGGTCAGAATCACGGATTTGCGCGAAACTTCGTCTAGAGGGGTTATAAGGCACGCTGAACACGAATATGATGTTTATCTCGTGCGACAGCGCCATCCGGTGGAGTTACGGTAGGACTACGGTAGAGGGTCAAAATCACGGACTTGCCCGAAACTTGGCCTAGAGGGGTTATTCGGCCCGCTGATGCCGAATATCACATTGGTTTTGAACCGTAGCGTCATTTTCTCGGGTTACGGTAGCTACATGGTAACGGGTGTAAAGCATAGTTCTGCCTGAAACGGGTGTACGACGATTCGGACGACTGTGAAGCTTTGCACACACGACCACCGCCGCGCGCTACACACCCTGCTGCGGCTTTTGCCTAAGCAAAGCACAGGGGGAGATACATTTGCCGATTTGTGATTTTGACCCCTAACCGTAAACCTACCGTAACCATGCAGGGAGGCGTTTTCATGCGGAGAAAGTGTGACATTCGTGATCAGCATGTCAGATAACCCCTCTGTGCGAAGTTATAGCGGATTCTGAGATTTTGACCCCCTATCGTATACCCACCGTAACCCGAGAAAATGACGCTACGGTACAAAACCAATGTGATATTCGGCGTCAGCGGGCCGAATAACCCGCTGGGCCAAGTTTCAGCTGAATCTGCGATTTTGACCCCCTACCGTTTACCTACCGTAACTTCACAGGAAGGCGGTTTCCTGCGGAGAAAATGTGATATTCGTGATCAGCATGTCAGATAACCCCCCTGTACCAAGTTTGAGCGAAATCCATGACCAAAGAATTTTGGGGCCCGGATAGCCGAATAGCGCCGAAAAATCTCACTGCCCAAAAAAATGTCAAACCTTGTTGTGGTAGATCGCAAGGAACAGACGAAAACCTTTGATTGCTTCATACAAAATACAAAGCAGAAATGAGATGAACATGGATACAGCCATTCCTAAATGAGTATAGCACTTCATACCTCAAACCTTACTAAAAGGGGAATACCTACCTGACATTGTGCCAGTCTTCCAGAATGAGAAGAGGATGAGTTCCCTCTCACGAAAGTGTATTACCATATCCATCATACCGGTCATATTATGATCCATCTTGACGTTTGCTACAATGGTCACTCATCAAAGAGATCAAGAGAAGTTAAAAGAGTGGTTCACGAAAGTAGTGAGCAAAGAATGGTAACGCTTATGACATAAAAGTTTCATAGCTGTACCAAATGGTAACAAATCAGTGGCAGCTATGCTGAATTAAATAAAAAAACGTGTATCATGAGCATCATCAGCATTGAGAGATGATGCACTCACGAACGGAACGTACAAATTACCGCTTGACTAGTTAATGAACTTCCAGATGATCAAGCAAATTTTGTTACGCTTGATGCCCACAAACTCTTCTAGGCTTGATCAATACGGAATGTAAAGGAAGCCATAAGGAAGCAGTAGTCGTTAAAATTTTCGAACGCTCCACACATGTGACGAACAAGTGAGTAGCTCAAACGTATCGAAGATGCATGTAATAAGCTCTATGTTGATCCTTCTCCGCACTTCAGGAAGTGCGGAGAAGGATCAACACAGTTGCCGGCAACTTGCCCAAAGGAATGGCCAAGTTGCCGGCAACTGTGTCCGAGGTTCTCCATTCGGTGTGTGCGGCGCGCGCGCCTAGATTTACAGTCTGCCCCAATCCTAACCAGGCCAAAATCAGCATGGCGGGAGTCCGCGCCGCGAGGATTTCGCGCCACATCTGCAGCTAGCTAGTCGCTCTCTCCTCGATCTGTTCACTGTCGGCGCAGCGCGCGTATGCAGCAGCGCAATCACCTAGCGGTGCGAGCGCGCAAATTCAGCCGACGGTTCGGCCTGATCCCGATTGGGGCAGACTGTACGGGCAGGGTCACGTACACCGTGCGGCCCGCACGCCTTGAATCCTTAGCGTACGGCCCGCGCGCACTATATTCTCACCGTGCCGCCCGCGCCCTCCAGTTCTCACGCACTATAAGCGTAATGGGTACCCGCGTGAGGTACGACGCTGTGATTAGGCTGCTCCATCACTGGTCGAGCTGGCTTGTCATTTTCTGGCATTTGAATAATTGCAGGAACATGAGAGGTTTTTTGCTTCTGCGAAGGTTATCACTCGACATAAATTTGAATTTTTGAATTTTATGAATTCAAATTTTCGAATTTTCTAATTCAGAATTTTTTGGACTGTAAAGTTGAGAATGCTCACGGCACGATGAAAGAAGAAAAAGAAGCTTTATGCAAGACTTAATCTTTAGTAGTTTGCGGGCGGAGTGCTTTCGATACCGTTCGGCCTGCGCGCACTACACAGCGCCGCACGCACCGAATGCCAAAGTTGCCGGCGTTTCGCTCGTTGTAGGACCCCATGATAGTCTCCACTTTTCGCGCGCTCTCTAAGGCCTGTGTGCACGTACATCCCCGCTGGGAAGACCGGCCCTCCGCCCGTCACGATCGGCTCAGCACGCGCCGCGCATGAGCTGTGTCGCGTGCTCAGTTACAAATGTGCCCTGACGGTAAAGTCCCTGCGCAATATCGAATCGATAATTTCGACATTTTTATGGCAGTTAGGTGTACGAGCGTTTACGGAGCTGCCAATCTCGACAAGTTTGATTCTATACTGCCCTAAGACTCTAGATTTGAGAGTGAGTACGAGCGCCTCAAGGTGTACCAGATGACATAGGACTGCACGTTGATTTGCTCAACTTCAGGGAGTTGTTATTTTGATGTTTCGTTCGTAGTCAGCACGTATTACCCTCCCCTAAACCTTTGAGTTGGAGCAAATTTTAAGATGTTGGCCTCGTATCGTATGCCTACCGTAACTTTTTTTAAAGTAATGCTCCACAAGAATGGGATGTAGGGCGTTAGGCGACAAACCCGACTTTTTGGACCTCAAATAACTCCCCGTGCAAAACGTCTCCTCCGCCAAAAACAGGCGGGGGGGGGGGGGGTGGGGTGGGAGTTGGGGCCGATACATTACTCGACGCCATCAAAAAATTGCACATAGTTTTGACTTACGGGCTTTACGTTGATTGCGTTTTGCACGTTTTGTCGCCTAACGCTTGCCCTCCCAAGAATGGTTATCGTTTGCTCGCTTTTGCTAAAGTAGGCGGTGTATTTGCGGACCCGCCGGAGTCGCGGTCTTAGCGCTGGCGGCGGTTATCGATTCTGCCCCAGCGCTAAGATCGCGACGCCGGCGGCAGTCCGCAAATGCCCTGCCTACTCTAGCAGAAGCGAACAAACGATATGATATTTGTAGTGCGTGCGGCATTATCCCCACTTTAAAGCTATAGTGACCCACATGGGATCTTCTTATATGGAACTAGTTGACTTACCCGGCTCCGCCCGGCCCTGTCATTATTATATTCGTAATCAGCATGCTCGATTACCCCCTTGTGCCAACTTCCAGCCCCGTTGCTCAAATTTTGCAAAGAATCAATAAAATCGATATCGATCGATGATGAAAAGTAGCCTGTGAGACCCGCCGGGGCCCGAAGTGTATGTGTGCCAAGTTTGGTCCGGATCGGTTCAGAAATGAAATTTTCTATTCGGAACATACGTACACACAGACAGACATACATACGGACAGACAGACAAGCAGACATTCAGCTTTATATATAAGATAACGCCGTGACCCCTTGAAAATGGCCCTAATATGCAAAATCATTACTCTCATGACCGGTATGTCAAGTCTACCTTGTGCCAAGTTCGGGACCGGCCATACTCTTTCAGGAGGTGGTTTCTGCGATTCCTGTAATTCCTGCAGTTTCTGTGATTCATCCACTTCCGATGTGCCGCACGACGGCTCGCCTTGTGACTTTCAGTGTACAATATTTTCCACAATATACGTTGTTGCGGGACCCGCGGGAATCACAGGAATCGTAGGAACTGCAGGAATTGCAGGAACAGAGGGATGTTGATGCAAGCACTACCATAGAGCGATTGTTTCTGTTTTGCTTGCAACCTTCCGCCTAATTTATCCGATTTCAGGCGCATACGGCGCTATTCGGCTATCCGGGTGTGCCGATATAATCGGCACCTCTCTTTGGGTTCCTTCATACTACGCCGCGTACGCCGCCGCAGCGCAATGGAAATAGGCTCACGGCAGCAGAGCTCCACTTTTTTTTATGTATCTCTATAATTGCTTATTAATAGAGCGTCATTTCATCATTTATTACAGTTTTGACCCCAGATACGTTAACATTGTGAATTGTGAAGTCAGCGCCAAGACTTGAATGATAGTTTGTGAGCGAAGAAAACAAACTGCGGCAACAACGGCTAATCAAATTTGCAATGCAGTCTAACAGTACGAAGAAGGGAAATCCTTTTCATCCAGATGTGTTTGTAAGGAAATGTTAACAGGGTACAGTCGAGTAGATTTCCTGCTTAATATAGTGTCCCTGCAGACGCGACAACGCTGGGGCGTCAACAAATGCCTTGCGAGTTTCCGAGCTAGTGTTTTCTAGTGTTTTCTTTGCTTATTTCATGCTTTTTAGTTGATTCGTTGCTGATAAAGAGGAAAAGGGTAAGTTAAAGAGTAGTTTCTGTTTTCTGAGAAGTTCTATTATCGCATATTCACAGGTATCCACGTGGAGGCATTTCGCGTCAGCTTCTTGTCTATTTCTTTTTTGTCATTTCCTTTTCTTCTGTCACTTCTTCTTTTGAGGCTTCTTCTTCTCTTCTTCTTCCTCCTTCTTGTGAGGCGTTTCTTTGAATGCTAGTTGGCTTGTCTTGCAGCAACTTCGGCTTTCATCCATAAGAAATAGCATTTTAATCAAGTAGTTCATGTGATAAGGACAATAAGTCAATCGTAAAAACCCACTAGCGTCAAAGAAGTACCTCACAAGAAGAAAGAGACATGAAGTGACAAAAAATAGACAAGAAGCTGACGCGAACTGCTTCCAGTGGATATCTGTGAATATGCGATAATAAAACTTCTCAGAACACAGAAACTACTCTCTAACTTACCCTTTTCTTCTTTATCAGCAATGAATCACCTAAAAAGCATGAAATAAGCAAAGAAAACACTGGAAAACACTAGCTGGAACTCGCAAGGCATTTATTGACGCCCCAGCGTTTCGCGTCTGCAGGGACACTATATTAAGCAGGAAATCTTTTTTTTTTATCCTCGCATGTGTTCCCGCTTACGCAGGGTCTGCTTTTCTTGTGAGACGTCTCCATGTCGTCCTATCTGAGGCAAGGTTTTCATCTATGCCAAGTTCTCGCAGGTCGGCCTTGATTCTGTCCATCCACCTCATCTTGGGTCTACCTCTGGGCCTTTTGCCTGGTGCCTCCACAACCAGGGCCAACTTGGTGATGTGACTTTCATCCCTTCTGCGCACATGCCCATACCATCGTAACCTTTTTTTCCTGCATTTTCTGGGCAATTGGAGCTACTTTCATTCGTGCTCGTATAGTGTCGTTGCAGATGTGATCCTTTAGTGTGACACCTAAGGTCCATCGTAGCATCCTTGTTTCCATGACACTAAGCTTGCGCTCCTCGTTCCGCGTACACGGCCAGCACTCACTGCCATACAGTGCTGCTGGGCGGATAACGGTCCGGTACAGTTGGGACTTAAGTTGCACTGGCATTCGTCTGTCGCACAGAACTCCTGTTAAGGCTCTCCATTTCATCCATGCTGTGTTCATCCTGCCTGCGACCTCCTCTTGTAAGCCTCCCTCCGCTGAGATATGGCTGCCTAGGTACTTGTATGACGTCGTCTTCTTTAGCTCTTCACCATTGATGCTTATGGTACCTGGAGTTTGTTCCCCCACTTCCATATATTCTGTCTTCCTGGTGTTGAGCTTCAGGCCATACAACTCTGGCCTGTTTTTCCAGTTTTGCACCTCGTCTTGTAGCTCCTTTCTGGTACTTGCTATCAAGACCACATCATCTGCGTAGAGAAGTGTCCAAAGGGGTTCACGTCTGAGTGGTTCCATCACGGCGTTCATCACAGTGATGAAGAGCAAGGGAGAGAGAACTGAACCTTGGTGAACTCCAACCTTGATCTGGAATTCTTTTGATTGCCCTGCAGCTGTTTGCACGTGGCTTGATGCGTTGTGGTAGATCAACTTTATCCACTGAACGTACTCCTCTGGC